AAACTTTGCAGGTTTTTAGTGGAATAAGACTGAATATTTCAGACAACCCAACAGTTTTGTTCTTTTAACTAAAAGTTTTCCTGTAAAAAAACCCTCAAAGGTTAAAGTTAAACTAAGTCTGACTAAAATGTTTAAAGAAACCTTGAGTTAGGGTTTGGGACAGATCTTGTTTGTCCAGTGAACTGACTGCAGAGTAAAGAGAATTAAAAAGGTCTCTGTAAGGATCTGCAGGTCTCACAGTCTGTTTCAGGGACTGCTGACTTAGATAAACCTGAGAAATGTGAATTTTAATTCTCTGCAGTCCCAACAAATGTCTCTGCTGCCCTTTTCCCCTCCAACGGCTGCCGTCACTGAGGGAGAAGTAAAATGTGCAAAGGGAACATTTTTCTTTTTAGCTCCTCTGGAGGAGAAAGGAGCGACGGAGGAGGTGGTTTTCTGTTCGCTCCTCCATCAGCAGGTTGCTGCTTCAGCTGCAGTTTGTTCTTGTACAAATGTATTTTTATCAGGCGCGCAGCTGGGCCACAAAGCCCAGGATCCAGGCGAGGAGAGGGCTGTGAGTCAGGGTCTGTCTAACAGACAGGTGGAAGTAAAACTGTTCGTTTTGAAGCTGGGAGCCTCGGCGTTGGATTATCTGCCTCATTAGACGTCTAAATGCCAGCTCATTGGTTAATGTTGTGATGCTGCACAACAAACACAATCACACCGAGTGTTTCTGCCTGGGTGGGCTCAACGAGTCCAGTTCTCACCGAGCTGATGAGCTCAAACTGAAAGGTCTCAGGTGGGACTCAGGAGGCAGACTTTAACTGCTGCCGATGTGCCTCTGAGCAAAGACAGGACGTGTCAGCTTCTTTTATTTAAATCCTGAAACGTGGCTCTGACTCTGAGCGGGTTCAGTTTTTAATGACATCATGAGTCTGGGGTCAGGACCTGATTATTCAGAAGGTCCTGCTCTTCCTGCAGCTCCTCTGTAAGCCTCCTCTGAGACCAGACTGAGATAATGTCTTCACTGGTTTTCATCCATCAGGTCACTTCTTCTCTGTGCAGTGAAGGAACACTCAGACAGCTTCAGGATTATTAGATTTTACATTTCTTCATCTCTGAAGTCTTGGATCAGAACCTGAGTGACATTCAGGGACTGAATATTTTAATAATCCAGGTCCAAGTATCTGTAACCCATTATGATGGTGGCTCAGGGTCTCCTTCCTGTGGGAGGTGCTTAGAGGTCCTCCAGAGGGAGGCGTCTGGATCAGAACCTCACACTGACTCCCAGTGGTGGGCAGCGCTAACCCAAAAATTAGCTCCACAATTTCTAAAGTGCTTATGAAAATGTTTAGGTCCGCAACTTCAAAAATGCTAATGTCATAGAAAAGCTAGCAGAAGCTAATTTTAAAGTGTAAGTTCAGTTTGACACTTATTAACTGACAATTCATGTACTTTATATGTACAACACTGCCAACCAGTGGTGTATGAACGTTTGTACAGTTCAATCCTACAACCTCTGATTGCTGGGGATGTGATTTCCTGAAACAGACCTTTAYCTCCTGGTGTAAAAATTAAAAAGTTGTTGAGGATTACTAGTTCATCTGCTTCTTTGTCTTTTTCTTTTGTTTGTTGTAGATTTTTCATTAAAGAAGCATCAATAAAGTAATTTTAAATCTGTTTATTGGAAAACTGAAGTGATTCATTCTGGGTACATGACAGATTTGATTTGTGAAGGGAAA